AATTAAAATCTCAACCCTTAAATCGTATTATTTTTGTTTTAATTAAATCGACCTTGGGATTTGTGTGATTTAGCAAAAGCTGTGACCAATCCTCATCGATGACAACAGTAACAACCCTTCTACCATTCAACGATTCAAACGTTCTGCGAACACTCATCTCTTGATCAATTCTCTTTTTCGGCGGCAATAGAGGCAACAAAACAACTCTTTTGCGACAACCCTTAAATGATGAGTACAAAGCACTAACAAAAATTTTGCGTGATAATGGAGAGTCAGTTTCTACTTAATCCTTTACAAAATAAACTAACATTAACAATTTAAAATTCATCACATCAATGTCTTCATGTGGGTTAGCAGGGGGATTATTGTGCATATGGAGACCTGCAATTTTTGAAAAAACTTCATCTTTTGAAGGATCACATTTTCTTGGTGTTCATGGTTTTTGGGGAGAAAATAAAATACCAGTCTCAATCATAAATGTCTACGGGCCCTATGATTTAGCAGCTAAGAGGGTCTTATGGGGAGAGTTAAGGGATATGATTGCCAATGCAGGGGACAAATGGTGCGTAGTTGGGGACTTCAACGCTGTAAAATCAGCACAAGAAAGAACGGGTGGAAGGAGTTCAAATATTGAAATAAGGAACTTCGAGGCTTTCATAGAGGAAACTGGTTTGGTGGATATATCGATGTATGGTAGATGATATACATGTTATCACTCAAGTAGCACATCGATGAGTTGGCTGGCTCGGTTTCTCCTTTCAGAAAAGTGGTTACAGGAATGGGAACAATTGAAGCAATGGGGATTGACAAGATCTGTTTCCGATCACTGTCTGGTTGTCTTAAAGACTCTTGAAAGGGATTGGGGCCCAAAACCTTTTAAGTTTTTTGACGCATGGTGGCAGACTCCGAGGTTTACAGAACTATTAATTGAGCAGTGGAAATCCTTTGAAGTGACAGGATGGAAAAGATTCTGCTTAAAGGAAAAATTGAAGAAGCTCAAAGGATTCTTAAAAGGATGGAGTAACGAGCAGATGGGGGACTTAGAATCTAAGATAGAGGAAGCAAAAAAGAAGGTGGAGGAACTAGATATAAGGGCTGAATCCCATTCACTATCTACGGATGAAGACAAAATGAGAAAAGCTTGCCAGGAGGAATTATGGAAGAATCTAAGGCTACAAGAGATGATGTGGAGACAAAAAGCAAGGAAACAGTGGGTAAAGGAGGGCGATGCCAACACTAAATTCTTCCACAGATGCGTTAAAGGGAGAAGAAGGAGAAATGAAATTAATAGTATACAAATCAAAGGGAGACGTTTCGAAGATATAAATGGAATAAAAAATGCAGTAGTGGAGTTTTATGAGGAGCTGTTCTCTGAGGAAGGTTGGGTTCGACCCACCTTAAACGGAGTGAACTTTAGA